CACCTGGGGTCGAGCCACCATATATTTCCACTAGCTCCCAATTAATTGATCCAGCATGCAAAATGGATGCCATCATTCCATCTATTTCTCCCCTCCTTTTGCTTTTTTTTTCCTTTTTTTTTTTTCCTCTCTGATCATTATACTTTTCTGCAGACATTCCCAAAATTTCAACCCCATCCCTCGGCAAACGCTTTGCAGTGTCCATACAAAGCCCAAAAAAAAAAAACAAAAAAAAAACAAAGACGTTGTCAGATATACAAGAGAGAGAGAGTCGTACCTTCGACACAAATGGCCATATCTCCTTCAGCTCCCGATTAATCCATTCGACCTATTGTTATGCAGCGGAAGGAGAGGGAAAAAAAAAGAAAACATTTGAATATTCCAATTAACACACAAATCCGGCGCAAGTGTCAGCGACGCGATTGCGGGCCTGAAGCCTTAATTGGCCCCTGAACTCGTTTTTTTTTTTTTTTTTTTTTAACAACGACAACGACCTTGCGATATCATCATGGAGTCCATGACCGGCCCCAGGGGCCTGGACCCACTAGCGAAGTATTCTACGACGTGTGACGCAATTTTATGGTTTTTGGAAAAGACAAAGTGATTTTTTATTTGCATGAATGGATCGTTTTCTGATTTAAAATCTAGGCTACCAGAGTGGTCCAGGTCAACTTGCCCGGCCGGGCCAAAAAGAAATAAAAAAAATAATAAAATAAAAATTATTTTTATTTAATTTTTTATTTTAAATTTGGTAAAGAATTTCGATGTGACCCTGAGGCAAAAGTTGTCTAGTTTATTTTTCTGCATAACATAGCTTTTTTGTGGTTTTTTTGGACTTTTTCTTTTTTTTGCAGGGACCTTCCCTTGTCCTTGCACGGGCTGGTAACCCGGGGCCCGGGCTGTCTCTTATACACATCTAGATGTGTATAAGAGACAGCAGAAAAATAAACTGAACAACTTTTGCCTCAGGGTCACATCGAAATTCTTCACCAAATTTAAAAAAGAAAACAAATTCAAAAAAATATGGACAAAAGCTGTCTCTTATACACATCTAGATGTGTATAAGAGACAGGAGAAGGATAATATTAGCATGGCCCTGCGCAAGGAGGACATGCATAAATTGAGATACGGTCCGAAACATTTTTATTTAAAAAAAAGCTAGACTAC